ATATTTAACAGCCATACTTTGAGGCCTATACTAATCTGGTCAGAGGGACTTAGAGAACAGTTTTTGTCCTTTGCCCTCCAAGGTTGACTAAGTTCCAGGGGACTATGGAACATCTCTCAAAATGTCCTGTAACTCTGGTGAGTCATCTGTCCTCTTGTTCAGGAAGGCCATGGAAATCTCGTGAGATAAGACTTGAACCCGTGTCCAGTCTACGAAGAGGAAGATCAACTCAGAGGAAACATCTCATTCGTGCTTTCAAGTGAAGCCAAACATGGTCAAGCAGGACCTTTGACTTATCTTCACGTAGATGGAACTGGTAAAAGAAAGGAGCCAGGAGCTCCTCCCAAGCCCACGTGACCCCTGAGGAACAGATCCTCAAATGACCTTAAGTGTAAAAATAAATTGATTTGGGCCAACTGTATAATCTTAAATACCCAAAAGGAACATATAACCAAAGAGTAAAGTCATCAGTATATTTCTTTAAGAGTTCAAGGGATTACACTTCCCAGACACTAGGCTTAAGTCCATATAAAAAGTTATTTAGACACTTATTTCTCATTAATGATTTTATTCTGAATCAGAAAGTGCTGCTCAGATGCAAGACTTCAAATCTTGGTCTGCAATACTGTAGTGCCCACCTGTTGCTAAGGGAGACAACCTGCTATTGTTCTAAAATGATGGATAAATTTGTTTTCTTCCCCTATCGAGAAGCCTTTGAGAGGGAACTGACACTGATTCTAACCACTCCAACAGCTATCAAAATACCTGAAAGCAAATCCTGACTTGGAACACAAAAGAAAAATGAGGAGGAACCCAATAGAGGGATGCTTTTGGAAGCCCTTGTCAAGAAATTCAATGGACTCTCATATGAACATTTGAAAATTGCCCTTTTCTAACCTTTTTCTAGTTCCCTGTCTAGAACTTGTTATGCTAATTACTCTTGCCTTTACTTCTCCTTCACATCTCCTATTCATGACTCAGGGACTTTCTTCATCCCGTACAGATAAGAGTTATGCAACTTGGGAGTCTTTTAGATAGACTCACTGAAGGGGTACTCCAATTGCCTCACCCTGTATCCCTGTTCAGCATAGAGGAAGCCAGGGTGGTCTACATCCTGATTCCCTATCCACAAGCTGATAACCTCTTCAGAGGATGGTATGATAAGAATAGGAGGTAGGAATTGGCTAGGCAGATGGGGTAAAAAGACCCCAAAGAAAA